AATTTCATGTTTTCATGTGATTTACAAGTTATATTTTTAACCTTTCCCTTGACAGCTAAAAGAGTTGTTGGATAACCTTTTACAGGATGTTAATGATTACGAAACTTTATGTTGCGAAGACGAATATCATGCTAAGAAGCTATAATAGAAAACCTTAAAAAGCAGTTTTGTCTAACTGGATAAGCCATCATTTTCGACTAAAAAAAGGCAAGCGACAGCGATAAGGAGTAGATACTGATCTTCACATATCTTCAAATATCCACTAAGACCATAGGAATCCACTGGGATCCAGCAGGATCTAGTAGAATCCAGTAGAATGCAGTAGAATCCAGTCGAATCAAGTCGAATCCATAGAATCCATAAAATCCACTAGGATCCACAGAATCCGCCAGAATCTACTAGGATCCATAGAATCCGCCAGGATCCATGAGGAGCCGCGAGAATCCAAGGAGCCAGGAGCCGCTTTTCCCCTTGCATTAATTCTAGCGGATGTTGCAACAAATCTTATTACAGATTCATTATTTGGAAACGATTGGATCGCCGAAAACAATGTCATCGTTGATTCACCACAACGACATCTTTTTCTGACCGACAAATATTATCGAATAGTAGTAGCAACTCCATTCACCAAACCACCTGATCTTCACTTACCCATATTTTTGATCGATGAAATTACAATACCACCATACTTGGAAAAACTTACTAAGGTAAAAACTGCATCGCCTATAAAAAAAACACTATTGGTGTTTTATTTGAACCAGCTCAAAATTCATATTCGAAACAGATAGTACTTACAAATAATATTCTCAAAATGGAAAATAATAAAAGTCAGATTATGATTATTGATGTCAATGATCGCCAACGTACACTATCAAGGAATACTAAATTAGGACATATTTCATATCAGACTGAATTAAATAATTATCTTATTTTATCAGTGTTAACAGAAGAAGAAAATTATCAACCAACATATTCAAAATCATTTACTTATAAGAGGAACAGCACTCAAAAGGGTGGTTTCTGTGATCCATTACTCCGTGGGAAGAGGAAGGTCCGATTTACGGACTTTATCTGTGTAAAAGAACGTCATAAAGCACAATAACATCAATGCCATGTTCGTCAAGAAAAATTGCTATCCCGAAATGATTTACAGCAGCAGTTACGCCAAAATTGTTATCTATTGGAAATGCCAGAACAAATCGAGAAACTAACCCAACATATCGAAGACATAAAACAACGACAACAATTACAAAATATTTTATGGAAACATCGAAAACTATTTGATCTTCGTCAACCGCCCATCATCAAAGTAACAGTTCATCATGCCATTGAAACTGGTACTAATTCGCTATCATATACTCCACCGTATCGTATTTCATACAAAGATGAACAAATACAACGAGAAGAAATAGATAAATTATTAAGACAATGAGTAATCGAAGAATCTATATCACCATGGTCATCGCCTATAGTATTTGTCCATCAGAAAGATGGATCGGTTAGATTTTGTATTGATTTTACAAAACTAAGCAATATACTGCAAAGGATGCATTTCCTATGCCTTGAATAGATGATATTTTTGGCCATTTATCTCAAGTTGAATATTATACTGCAATTGATTTAAAATCTGACTATTTTCAAGTTGGAACTGATCTGAAGACCCATTTATCTATTTACCTATTTACGACCTACGTATCTATCTACCCATCTACTCATCTATTCGTCTATCTGTGTGTGCGTGGAACCCTTGAAAGATCTACACGTGGATGTATTGATGATTATATGTTTATAACTACAGATGAATGTAATTAAGCATCTATCTATGTGCGAATAATTGATATTTTCTTTTGAAAAATCCCAATGATATTATTACTGAGATTTGTCATTGGGGGTGGCACTTTAACTTTAAAAAACTTTAAAAAAGTATTAAAGTTTAAAGTAAAAACGCTTTAAACTTTAAATGCTAAAGTTAAAGTAAAACACTTTGACACTTTAACACTAAAAAAAGTCTAAATTAAAGTCGATATATTGATAGAGTATTCGATGATCATTCTTGATTTTTGTCATANAGAAATATTTTCAAGAAGCGTTTAGAAATTCAAATTTTCTGATTCACAAACGTGGAATCTAACATTTAGAAAAATCTTGTTTTGGCAAAACAGTTTTTTCTTGGTGGAAAAAATTAAGCCATAAATTTTTCGTTATCACGTGCACAATCACCGATGACGGAGCAATTACTGGTCTCTCTAGTACATATGAAAGTTTACTATTCATATTTTTATACAGAAATTGTTAAAAAACAGGTATCCTCGTCAATTCATGAGTGATCTTGCTTTTATAGAACTATTTCTATTGTATCACGACATAGATGTCATAATATCTTCACACTGGGCATTGTGATTTCGAAGTCATCATACCCATCGAATTCTTTTTGGGGTATTACCTAGGGGTGGCACTTTAACTTTACTTTAAAAATTAAAGTTTAAAGTTAAAGTGTCACCCCTAGTATTACCCTTAGAGTGCCCACTTTTATATAACTATATGTTTTAAGTTGAAGAACTTGAGTTGTTTTGGGATATTACCCCTAGGGTATCCACTTCGATATCCTAGAATATTACTATATGTTTAAAGTTGAACAATTCGGAGCAGTGCTCCTAATTCCATATCGACTAAAAACGAGATTTCCGAAGAATCGATTGTTGACCTTGAGCCTGCTACAAGCATACCTGCGTTTACTATAACAACTCCTGAGGTTGCTAGAATTTAAGTGCCTCCCAGATGTATGCGTTACTTTGTCGGAAATTTGGATGGAATACTTTTAACAAGATGAGGCACAGCTGCAGTAACCTCTATAAAGTATCTAAAAGTTCAGGTATGTGTTCCAGTACCTGTGGTGTGTCTCGAAGGACTCCAGCCGCACTATCAGCAACGTCAGGTAAGGTTCTCGGAAGTCGAGGAATAATCTTAACAATCTGATACATGGTTTCAGCAATTCCACGCATTCTTTTAGAAGTCTCAGGCATTCGTGTAGTAGCGTCCGGTTTGCTTCTAGCAGCGACAGGCTTCCCTCTACCAATGTTACGCATTGTCATGAATCCATGGCATGCTCCTAGGAATCATAATTTTTATGCTATGCATTTCAGCCTTAGTAATATGTATGTCTAAATTCAAATTATATAAAATACAAGTCAGATAAAATTATATTATTTCCTTTTTCCTGCAGTAATATCTGTACCTTAAGTTTTTCCGAAGTTTTACTGTGCAATATATGCATCAATTATGTTCAAATTCGAATTAATCATCTTATGCGAATTTGAGTTGTTTTGGTGTATTTTTTCTAGGATATCGAAGTGGATACCCCAAGGATAATACACCGAATGTTTATAAAATATGTTTAGTTCGAGAAAAAGTAGGTACCAGGTGTAACGGGATTATGAAATCACTCTATCACGACTACCTATAGAGCGTTAACAGCGACAAAATTGTGTATTTTGATAAGGAAGAGAAACGAAACTAATTGAAACTTGTATTTAGCCCAAGGGGGAACAAACTGATTTCCAGTCAGAGAAATCACTGGAAATCAAGAAATTTGTTTGTTCCCCCTTGAAAATTAGTAAAAATCATCAGTAATCAATAGAAATAAATATTTTCTTGTACTATATAGTTTGACCATTTCTGTGATTTCCATTTATTTCCATTTATTTCCATTTGTTTCTTGTAATTTCTAACAACTGAGTCGTTATTCACATCTTCAATGTATGATGATTTCTAGTGATTTCCGATGATTTCTATGGCTGGAAATCAGTTTGTTCCCCTTGGCCTCATGTGAAACAAATCTCGACTCAATAGTCTCAAAAATCTGATTATTATTTCAATTTCTTCAGCAGGGAACCGATCGCTTAATTACAACCTTCTTCTTTCATAATATGATTTTCCGATGGTTGAATCAAAATCAGAAAGTTTTATTTTTATTTGATAATTCGTCATCCATATAAAGCTCAAGTGTCTTACCACGTAACTACAAGTAAATCCTGTTATATTTACATTCTATATTGTACAATGTGTAATTACATCTTTATTCAATTCGATTTCGTTGTATTTGGTAAAAATAATTTTTGAAAGATGCAAAGATGAAATTATGACAAAAATCAAGAATGATCATCGAATACTCTATCAATATATCGACTTTAATTTAGACTTTTTTTAGTGTTAAAGTGTCAAAGTGTTTTACTTTAACTTTAGCATTTAAAGTTTAAAGTATTACTTTAACTTTTTGTTTAAAGTAAAGTGAAAGTGCCACTCCTATTTGTCATGCACTCATAATAATTATTCGATTTTTCGAAAAAAATAATCCACATCGTGAAAGATGGATTTGAACCACTCTTTTGAAATCTGTCGCAGCGAGCATTTCGTGCCGTAGTTTAATGGATTGTACATTTTGTCGTGAAGTACAACACATGCGAAACATTGTATCTTAGTGTATGATCAAGGCTATTACTCTCCTCCTAGCGATGTTTTCATTTTTCTTTCGTTTCTCTTCATACACTGATCACAGTGTGGCATTATTTGCATACATAAAACGAAAGAATGATTGAATGTATGCTTTTCTTTCTGACGGACAGAGCATTTTCTCGCCAAGGTCACAAGACGAAGGTGTATGGTTTTTTTTCTTTTGAATGTTTGTCAGTAACTATTACAACATGAGAGTCGTAAAGGCGAATGCTAAAAAAAAACTTACTATTCTGTTTTACTATTATTTAGGCTCACGAATAGTGCAGTTAGCGATTCGTCTTTGCTTTCGATCATATTTCCGATTACTTTACAACACTATTCAATTGTAACTACTTCTGTCGCTGTACTATTTATAGTGTACACTATTCAGTTGGTATGTTTCCCTACCATATTTCTAAATAGAGCTTTATTTTATAAAAGTAAATTCTCTTATTCTGTTCAAATGCACTTTAACAGCACAAATGAGGGTAAGTCTTTCTTTTAAACATTTTTTTAAATGATTGCCACTGATTGAAAGAAAACATTCATCTTCCATCATTCACTATAATCTCTATGAGTACCACCACCATGCATAACGGTCGTATACACATTATTCATTACAGGCCGATACATAGTTGTGATACAACAGACAAGTAGTACAATCATATCCGATCATCGGAAATACTATTGTAATAAGTACAAGTTTTCGTACAAATTCGGAAGAAACTAAAAAAATCAGTATTTCAGGTGTCAGGGGAACCGTTCCAAGCGATATGAGTATCATTAAAGTGGAATGGTGTTTTAGCATTAAACAGCTTATCTGGCTAACGACCAACTGGAGTGATTAAGTAGAATTTAATTGTATTCAAAAAATAAGTATGCCATCTAGTAGAGTGCACTTTATTCTATCATGAAACTCGGTTCATTTTGTTTCGTTCCATAATTCAAAGAAAAAGTACACAAGAAAACATATAAGGGGGCTTCATTTAATTTATTGCTGTTTTATCCTATCCAAGAAAATGTTCTAAAAAAATGGGAGATTAGTTAAAATTTGGTGTTATATATATATTTTGATTCTGCTAATCTAGGATTTTCTTCCGATGTATGTTTTATTTCCTTTATGACTGGTGGAAGAAAACATGAGCCACCTACAAACTACATCAAACCCAAAGTGATTGCATTACCAAATAGAGCTTTTAGTTCATTTAACGCCACAACCACAAAAGCATTTTAATAGACACTAAAGCACTTCCACTAAATTTTGGTGCACTATCAAATAGCAGACTTGGTTTTCGTCTACCTCTTTTTTTTCAGATGAAAATAAACGTAACTCACTTATGCAATTTTACCATTACCATACTTCAAGTTTTAAACTTTAGCTTTTGTAAGATCGACTACTTCAATGGAGCAAAGTTCTCAATTTATTCTTCAGAGTTGCTAATCTGCAGAAATGCTAATAAGCTATTTAATTCCCTTGGACTGATTCAATAGATCCGTCACCCGTTCCCTTTCTGTAGAGCACGTTACATCCAATATTTTTGAAGCTCAATCTACTCGATGAAAGGTTTTTGGACCTAAGCTGAGCCGAACCATACTTTTCCTACTCTCAATGGAACTTTTTATCCGATCTAATAGTCGTGTTGAAGATACAAGACACTTTTCTCTATTATTTATATTCGTCGACAATCACACTTCATATTTTCTCGGATAATCCCAATGGTGTAACTAGAAAAATCTGACTCTAACTGAGTCTTACTTTTAGAGTAATCACGATCAGAGCAATCTTGAGCTACAGTCCAGAGAAAGCTTACAGATCTGAACCTGGGTCCGGTGGATAGAGACATTTTAGATCCGAATCCATATATGGTCAGGTTCAGAGAAGGTCTGGGATCTAATTAGTGACCTCAATCTCAGCTATGTCATGGTTGAAAGCTAGAATTG